TGCCACTGCCCCCAAGGGCCCTGACCCTGGTATGCTTTCTACTTCTTTTTTTGCTTCCAATTTTCAGCTCATATGCTGAATTTTACTTGCAACTCTTTTTCCCCTTCGTTTTCTCTGGTGGATGTATTTGTAGTTCATTCTAGCATGCTAATTAAGTATCTTTTTGGGATAAATTTTGCTGCTTTAGTGTTAATCTTGTCGTAAACTGAGTTGGGATTGTTGGTTTAGTACACTTTATGTTGTACCATTCTTCAAACCTTTTCCGATCAGTGACTAAGTGGGTACTTTGAAGGGGGTTAGTGAAAATTTAATGGCTTTTTCATATATTCCTATCACTTTGATAAGTTTGGAACTATCCCAGAATTTATTTTAGTAGTTCCTAGCTGCCTTAATTTTAACCATAATGAATTTGGCCTTGAACAGCACCAAAGCTAGAAATTATTTCAAATGTGAGGATGTTGGCCAGTGATAGTGTTTGTCGCATAACTTGTGGCCTTGCTAGCTACAAACTAGGTATTGATTATACTTAGTTTAGACTCATTGCCTGAGTTAGGAATCAGTTAATTTGTTTAATGAATGAGATTCATTAGCTTTTCTTTTGGAAACAATAGGAACAAGATTCTATACTTCTAATTTCCTTGGAAAGCAGTAGACTTGTAGGTTTTAGTATTACGCTATGTCAACATCTACTGGATTCTAAAGGGGATTATTGGTATGATGCTAAGGGATGTTAGGGTGGTTAAAGAGTAATCCTCTGTCCGGTTTTTCTAGTTTCTAAACCTTGCTGGAAGTTGTTAAACCTTGGAGGCTTTTAACCTCCATTTTAAGTTTTCTGTATACAAATAAAGGAGGATGTCTTGGTTGAAAGAATTTGCAGGATTATGATAAGTAGTCAAAATTGTAGTATGACTCAAAAAGTGGTGTAGCTGCTTCATGGTTTGGTGAACTGAGAATAAACAATAAGATAATGAGTTGCGTGGGTATGTGTTTTGTGGGTCAATAATTTTGTTTAATTTGTATGAGTATTTCAGTTGCATCTTTTTTATGGAGTTGCACTTGAAACTGGGTTTCTTTCAGTTATACTTGATGCTCCATTTATTAAGAACTATGAAGATGAATATGTTTGGCCAATGAATCTCTTCAAATGTACATTTAGTAGTAAAGGAAAAGGAACAAAAGGAAAATATTGAATGTATTGCTGTCTGTTTGAATTGGCATATTTTGTAGTTCAATCTCTCTTTCCTTTTCCTTTTTATTTAACATCTTTGGAGGGTTGTTACAGCTACGGTTAGTTCAAAATTTCATTTTGTTCTTTCAGGATCTTCTCAAGTTACATTCTAGTTTGTCACATCCATTTATATCATAATTGCTGCAACTTATTTCACTTGCAAGTTTGAACAGAGCTTATTGCCCATGTATAGATTTAACCGTCTGTGCACCTTTGATCTGTATGGATCATATTATTGGTTCTTAAAAACAGCTATTTATCTCGCAAAATATTATGCTTTGGTTTATGCAGATTTGGTTGCAATTGCAGAACGAATGGCTACCGTTAAGCATAAGATACTAGTTTTGTCAGGAAAAGGAGGAGTTGGCAAGAGCACTTTCTCTGCCCAACTCTCTTTTGCTCTGGCAGGTATGGACTTCCTGGTGGGTCTTCTAGACATAGATATTTGTGGACCAAGCATCCCAAAGATGCTTGGCCTTGAAGGTCAAGAAATTCACCAGAGCAATCTCGGCTGGTCTCCTGTTTACGTTGAGTCCAACCTTGGAGTCATGTCAATCGGGTTCATGCTCCCCAACCCTGACGAAGCTGTCATATGGAGAGGTCCTCGCAAGAATGGACTCATCAAGCAATTCCTGAAGGATGTCTACTGGGGAGACCTTGATTTTCTTGTGGTTGATGCTCCTCCTGGGACCTCAGATGAGCACATCTCAATCGTCCAATTCCTTCAGGCCACTGGCATAGATGGAGCAATTATAGTCACCACTCCACAACAGGTTTCTTTAATTGATGTCCGAAAAGAAGTGAATTTCTGCAAGAAAGTTGGAGTAAAGGTTCTCGGGGTCGTTGAAAACATGAGTGGCCTATGCCAGCCATTGACGGATTTCAGGTTCACAAGGATGACAGAGACGGGTGAACATGCAGACGTCACGGAAAGGGTCATGCAGTTCATGAAGGAGAAAGCACCAGAACTGCTAGATCTCATTGCTACCAGTGAGGTATTCGACAGCAGTGGCGGTGGCGCGGCAAAAATGTGCAATGACATGGGAGTACCTTTCCTTGGAAAGGTACCATTGGATCCACAGCTCTGCAAGGCAGCTGAACAGGGTAAATCTTGCTTTGGCGATCAGAAATGTGGCGTCAGCGCCCCAGCACTGAAGAATATCGTAGAGAAACTGGTGGCAAATAATTGGCGG